CGCAACCGGGCCCCACGAGTCACCAGTCTTCGTCGACCGGCACCGGCCTCCTCGACTCCGGACACGGACACGGACATGGACACGGACACGGACACAGACACGGACACGGACATGGACATGGGCTCGGACTGGCGACCGTTGCTGGCGTCACATTTGGTACCGGCGGTAGCAGCAATAGCAGCAGCGGGTCTCCGCCGGCCGCGGCGGGTCCTCTGGCCGGAACAAGAGGTCTCTTCGGACAGCCTCCGCGCCGCCAGTCGCCCACACACGCCGCCCACCTGCAGGCCGACAGCCACGGCCATCATCACCAGCATCAACAGCATCAGCAGCATCGCCAACAGCCGGTCACCTTCCAGACCGAGTCTGAGGCTGCAGGTGCGACAGAAAGTGGGTCCCCGAGGGTGGGCGGGCAATCGGGTGAGTGGGATTCGAACCCCACAGCCCGGCGGAACGAGGTCTTGGGCGGCCCGTGGAAGGGACTGACACTTGAGGATTGGCCAGGCCAAACAGTCACGGCCGCAACACACTTGATGTTGTCACAGAAAATACATAAACCTTTAATACTGGCATACCTTTCATTTCGTTCGAGAAGGCGGGTCTCACCGGATTGTGCGAAGAAGACTTCGGCTCACCGTCCTACGAGCCCGATTCTTCTGTGCTGAAATGTCGTCCGTCATGGGACGGACATCGTCAGGACCAGAAAGCATCACTCATGAACAATCACCAAAAAAACCTAAACCAAGAAAGGGAGCCAGCTGAGATGCTATCTACTTCTTAAACCTCACTTTGTGATCATAATGAGGCATTTCATCATTTGGTTGTCTGACGTATGCTTGTCTTGCATGCATGTAAGGGGATCAAAGTGATGCATGCAGGTTACAACTTTTCTGTGTGTGTAATTGAACTAACGTATGATCCTGCGATCCTAGGGCTTGTTATAGCATCGGGGATGCGTATTCGCGTGTGTATGCAATAGCCACGAGTTGGTTGGCAATTTTGGTCCAAAACCACACTCTGGCTTGGTCAAGTCTTCTCTTACTCAGTGGCTCTTCCTATTCTCTCTTTCTCTCTCTCTCTCTCTCTCTCTCTCATTCTATTCACCAACCAACGGTAGGTCCTAGTAATAGATACGAAGAGTAACTGAGTTTTGATGAATCGCCTGAGATACCATTGTTGGGGAGACTCGAAGGTAGTCGCAGGACCAATACGAAAGATAAATAGCCAAGCCATTCTATATCTATCTAGCTTCTTAAGTTTCTTTTGCTTAAATGAGTCTATTTAAGAGGTAAGATAAAGCCGGATAGTCTTCTTTTTTTTCAAAAATGACACCCAGTTCTGATGATGTCCACCGAATGATGCACGAAAGCTCAGCCCGTTTTCATCTGAAACGAGGCAGGAGAGATATTTCTCACTCAATGTCCTATATTCATCCCTTTTATTCAGGATGTTGTTTATTTCGTTAATTTCAATCGACTGTCTTCCTCATCTTCCGCTTGGCTGTGAAGTCGCCATATCCGGCAAAACGTTGGGATTTAGACCACTCTATCTGGGGTCCTGTAGCGACCACATGTTCAGCCACTTGTGATTTGTGAATCCATAAACCTGTGCAGTAGGTTCTGTGTTCTGATCGCCTCTCGACAAGTCTCTCCCACATAAACTACCGCATGAGCACAAAACCTTATGACAACCTGATCTGCAGAGGGCGTCAAAAGATTGTCTAAATGAAGACATGATCGAGGAAAGCGTTATTGTTTCTTCACACATTGTCTTTCCACTCCATTTCATCAATAGTT